TGCGGTTGCCAACCCACCCACCACTGCTTGGCAGCTGTGGCAAAATCCAATCAATGCAAGAGGCAGTCTATGGGGGAGGCCTATGTTCAGTAGTGTACTTTTCTAGATGTAGTGTATGGATAGACGAAACAGATGCAAGTATTAACAGTGGTGGAGCCACGCGGCAGCTTTTGCCTTCACACGGATGGGCTGGCTCGAAACGGGGTGGTACCACGACCTCACAGAAAACCAGTGTGAAGTAAAGGTTTACCTCTACGTTTCGCTTGGTGAGTGCAGGTGGCCAGATGCCCTTTTTACTGGAAATGAGGCATTCCATCTTAGTCCTCACGGGTGACAACGCATGTGCATTTTGATTTGTACTCGTAATAGAGGATAGATGTAGATGTCTATGGGCCGCAGCAACCACTTACCATCAGGTGGACTGTGTGCTCGTTTGTAACCCTTATCCTATAAAAAAAAGTAATGACAGATCATTGTCCGAAATTAGTTATGCTCAGCGACCGATTACCATATTATATTGCAGTACAGTAGTCTTCCACGAATTTTTATTATTACTCTAACCTCACTCGACGTTTGTAAAACGAAGCGTAATAAAATATCGATAATCCATTAATTTGTAAGTCTACTGAAATTTCTATATGATCTTATCAGCCCCTAACAGTCCATCAAAGTACATTTCTTTTAGAGAATAGGGTGATAAACGACCACACAGTCCACCTGATGGTAAGTGGTTTCTATGACCCATAGACATCTACATTTATCTTCAATAAAGAATCAAAATGCAGATGCGTCGTCACCCGTGATTACTAAGATGGAATGCCTCTTTTCCAGTAAAAGGGGCCTCCGGTTCTCTACACCCCCTATACGAAACACAGCAGTATCAAGCTGCCATTTATTTGTATTCTGTAAGAACGTGGTCTCTTCCCGGTCGAGCCGTATACTACTAATAGAGCTGCAGCATGGCTCTACCACGTATGCATGTGCGTACTAGCATTAATGAGATATAGAATATAGATCTAAAATGTAGTCTTGCACTGCTAGCCGTATGAGGAAGATTATGATCACTCGGTGAGCTATGTTTGGAGTTTGTTTTCGCGATTTCTCTATGAAGATATTTGCAGAAGAAGTAAACTAAAATAGCAATGAGCCGGCCATGTAGCTCGAAGAACCAATAACTGCAAAACCAATAATTGGGCTATAGTGATATTGATAGTGCACTGTACGCCGCTGAAAATGGGCTCCCTCCATCGGCATATTGGTGATCACAGTATCAGATGTCCCGCATCTTCAACGCTGCTTTTCATTATCAATCTGACGGCATTAATGAGGTGGTGGCGGTACACCTAAAACATATAATGTTAAAAATGCGTTTGTCAGACCCGAGGACTAAGTAAGAGTAAGAACTTAAATGTCGCATCGCTATCAGTAAAAAGGATCTACGGTTATTTTACACTAAACAAATGTAACACCAGTATTTGTACCATTAAGTTTTACGCGGTATTATATTCCTTCCTAGATCGAGCCGACCCATTCGTGCTACAAGAATAATTAATATAGCTGCAGCGTGGCTCTACCACATATAAAAATGTAATCACCAACGAAATGTTCATCATACTTGAATTGGGACGAACTAATAAAATAATAAATACGTAAAGTATGTATTTTCATCCCATACCGATACAACATTGAATTGTTTAAGGCATGAGTAAATGAGTGTATTTAGATTAATCTTGTTTGCCTATTTGTAAATACAATAAAATACGCAAAAATTCTCATATTTACCAGAGATCATTCAAAACAGTAAAAATAAATGTAACAATATACTCGTAATATAAATTTTCTATGTTTACGCGGAACCCTAAATATGATTAATGAACATCATGAAAGATCACTTACAGGGAAATCGCGTAATGTGCATTTAAATATGATTCTATAGGGTAACTTATGCGTGACTCAAGGTTTGCGATCTAATCGCTGAGAAATTTATTCCAAGCAACCCGTTGTAGAGGGTACGCCAAAGAGCTTGCTTAATAACCCGAAAATATGAACTTCAAACTTATAATTGCCCAACGTTTATCGACATTGAGGGTATGGCTGTAAATTAAGTGCTTTTATTTTAACGCGGTAACACTTAAATTGAATTAAAGTGTTTTTATGTAATAAATACTTCCATGTTTTCATAGTTTAAAATGAAATATAAGTGAAAATACTTTTTTGTTTAGTCATAGATGTTACTTTTTAAATATGACTTATAATATGAATCTCTGTACAATATCAAGCGACGGATTCAACTCGGCTGGGCAGCGTTCGGGAAACTACGACACATCTTCTCGTCAGACATACCTAAAAACCTTAAAACGAAATTGTACAACCAGTGCGTGTTGCCAGTGATGACTTACGGATCTGAGACGTGGTCCTTCACTGCTGGCCGTATGAGGAAGCTCAAGGTCGCTCAGCGAGCTATGGAGAGGGCTATGCTCGGGGTTCCTCTGCGTGATAAACTTAGAAATGAGGATATCTGCAGTAGAACCAAAGTAACCGACAGCCCAACGGATTAGTAAGCTGAAGTGGCAGTGAGCCGGCCATATAGCTCGAAGAACCGACAACCGATGGGTAAGAAAGGTTCTTAATTGTCAGCCTCGTACCGGTAGGCGAAGTGTAGGGTGACCTCCCACGAGATGTAGTGACGACCTGGTAAAACATGCAGGAAGTCGATGGATGCAGGTGGCTTAGGACCGTGCTTTGTGGCATTCCTTGGGGAAGGCCTATGTTCAGCAGTGGACTTATGAAAGGCTGTAATGATGGTAATGTTGATGAATCCACCGAAGTCTATACAATACTAAATGCAGTATCACGACTAATTCGCAGAGTAATGATTAAAGAGTCATATTAAAAAAAATACACATTAATATGCCGCGTTTTGGTGGTGTTAAAGAATCTATTTGGTCCTTTGGGTTTCGTAAGAGGAGAATATGGAAAATTGTTGAAATATCTTATATAATCCATATAATAATAAAAAAACTTAGCGCGGCGAAAAAGAACAGTATAAAAAATAAAAGACATCTAGCGTTCAGCATAGCGTGGCCAATGGTACAAATCATTCACATAATGTAGAGGCCTACAATCAGCTGTGGGTTAAAATAGAACGATAAATTAAGGTACATTGAATAAATTAATAACACAATAATACCTCTACGCTTTTCTGTAGTTAGCTTAAAAGTAACACAGTTAATTTTAAATAATATATAACTGTTTTATACGGTGTCATGTACATTTATACATCTAGTTATTCAGATAGAGGGTCACGCGAATTCAGTACTTTTCCCCATCACAAAAGTGCCCAACGTGCCTAAAGAGATTTCTTACTTCAAAAAATTAAATAAAAAATATCTCAAACATTCTGTCCTTTTTATCTTTTAAGTGCGGTAATGCATTATTTTAACTAACTTTACCGCGCACGCACAAATTCGTAGGGGTCGATGGGTAGGCAAAAATGTTGTTGCCCATAAATCATATTCAATTTGGGGTAATTGAAAATAAAAGTAGAAGCCTTTAGAACATTATTTATATACTTGAACTTAAGTTTAAAATTTCGCTACTCTTTGAAAAATAACCCAGTAATAAAATAATAATTAGGTTTCTTTTATTATTATTATTATATATATATATATATATATATATATATACATATATATATATATATACACATACATATATATATATATATAACTCTATTAATATAACTGTTAATAGCATTATTATTGTACTCTGTTAGGAGTGCTTTACAATAGTCGCCGGTCTGAATATATATCTTTATATATAAAAATTACGTGTCACATTGTTTGTCCGCGATGAACTCCTAAACTACTGAACTGATTTCAATGAAATTTTGTACACTGTGTGCAGTTTGGTCCAACTTGAAAGATAGGATAGTTTATATCCCGATAAGTGACCATCAATTTTTTTATTGCTAATTTCAAGAGTTTTTTTGGGAAAGCAAATGGTCGTTCGGAAAGGGCAGAACAACGTCTGCCTGGCCAGCTAGTATATACATATATATATATATATATATATATATATATATATATATATATATATATATATATATATATATATTAGCTGGCCAGGCAGACGTTGTTCTGCCCTTCGACGACCCTTCCTATAAAAAAATCCTTAAATCCGCAATAAAAATTTCATTGAAATCAGTTCAATAGTTTAGAGGTTCACCGCGGACAAACAATGTGACACGTAATTTTTATATATAAAGATAATGTGCGTCACCTCATTTGAACCCATGATAATTCAATGAGAGTAACAAAAAAAACTTAGATTTATTTACAAAGGGGAGGGTTTAATGCAACAGCTGTCTGTGAATGATGAAAGCTTAAGGCGATTACAATATTTTTCTCAGTACAAGTTTAATATAAAAATAATAATGTAATGCGCTTTTGAGAGCACGTTCTCTTCACGGAGCGTCTCTAAAAGTTTTCTACTTTTATTTTCTTAGACTGTCTGTCTTAATTTAAGTTGACAAGGGGATTTTAAAATATTTTTCTTGTATTAAGTTTAATATGTATTTGTTACTATAAGAAAAGAAAGAATTCTTGCTTGAAAGAACTTACAATATACTACAACGCTACAATTAGAATAGAAGTTATTAGTAATATCTAATTTAATTTAATATTTTCTTTTTTTATCCAAAACTAGCTGACCCGGCGAACTTCGTATCGCCTAACAGTCTATTCTTTAATTTTTTTAATACTTATTCTGCTATTTGGGACACCGGGTCAGCTAGTAAGATAAAAAAAGAATAAAGAAAATTGATAAGTCAACAATTACATTATGTCAAAAAATAAAAGTTATAAAATACTTAAAATTCTTTTAATAGTCACTAAAACATCACAATGAAAATTACAATTTCTGATTTCTTATTATGATACCTACTCATTATATATAATTTTATTTTTACTTATTCTAAATTAAGTTTAATTTTTATTCTACTACTTTATGGTACACGATATTTTTGTTTGATTACCTTGCTCGTAAACAAACAGAGCTGATGGTTTTCCAACACGGGAACTGGCAACATACAAATGGCCATGCGAGAAACACGGGTTTTCTAGATTAATACCACAAACACTTAATGACAGCCCCTGGGATTTGTTTATAGTCATAGCGAAAGCAAGCCGTACTGGAAACTGTAGTCGTTTAAACTGGAATGGTACGTCAGTCGGAATCATTGGGATGCGGGGTATCAAAACGTCGTCTCCTTTATACTTTCCTTTCAATATGATTGCTTCTATTACGTTATTCAGTAATTTTTTTATCGCTAATCGTGTGCCGTTACAAAGTTGCGGTTGGTTAATATTTCGCAACATTATAATTACAGATCCAACCTTTAATTGAATAGAAAATTTGTTTTTGAGTAATGTTACCATCGTAGAAATATTCACATTAATATTTATACGATACTAACGTCACTTAATTGTTTTGCCTTCTTGGAACCCCTCCACTAACACTTAAACTTTATAGTACGGTATTAAAGTTAAAATTGACTTTTAAGTATTATTACGAATCTTTTGTACGGAAATATAGATAAGTGATGTTTTTAGACTTTTTCAGGCAATCTTTTAAATTTTTCTCTCCGTAAGAACCATTTTCGTATTTCAAGGAATATTATAAAAAAAGAATTGGTGAAATCGGTTCAGCTACTCTCGAGATTTGCGATTAGCAACATATTCAGCATTTCATTTTTATATTATAGTTAATATTTATACGATACTAACGTCACTCAATTGATTTGCCTTCCCGGAACCCCTCCACTAACACTTAAACTTTATAGTACGGTATTAAAGTTAAAATTGACTTTTAAGTATTATTACGAATCTTTTGTATGGGAATATAGAAAAGTGATGTTTTTAGACTTTTTCAGGCAATCTTTTAAATTTTTCTCTCCGTAAGAACCATCTTCGTATTTCAAGGAATATTATAAAAAAAGAATTGGTGAAATCGGTTCAGCTACTCTCGAGATTTGCGCTTAGCAACATATTCAGCAATTCATTTTTATATTATAGTTAATATTTATACGATACTAACGTCACTCAATTGTTTTGCCTTCCCGGAACCCCTCCACTAACACTTAAACTTTATAGTACAGTATGAAAGTTCAAATTGACTTTTAAGTATTATTACGAATCTTTTGTATGGGAATATAGAAAAGTGATGTTTTTAGACTTTTTCAGGCAATTTTTTTAATTTTTCTCTCCGTAAGAACCATCTTCATACTTCAAAGAATATTATAAAAAACGAATTGGCGAAATCGGTTCAGCTACTCTCGAGATTTGCGCTTAGCAACACATTCAGCGATTTATTTTTATATTATAGAAGATATAAAACTTATTATAGTTTAGCAATAGTAGTAGGAATTGAAGCTTATAACGTATTTCAATTCTGAAATTGAAACTGATTTAAAAGCGCTTTCTTGATAATAGGCATAATAAGTGAGTTCGTGCTATCCTGAATTCGCCCACGTAAACCAAAAGTGTGACGAATGAAACTATATGAGGCTATATGATTGTATGAATACTTTGAATGAGGCCTACAATAACTACCAACTAAAAATAAGTGAAAGTATTAAGTAAGTAAGAAAGATCCTCCTTCCCTATCCCGCAAATGAAATAGTAAAGCTATAGTAGTAATGCATATAAGTCGTTTTCTTCATTTAAAATGTTTATTTTTAACAGTTTACAATAAAATTAAGAAGTTATAATGCAGCTATTTTTAAGTTATTTTCTATGGAGTTGTATCGAAATGTTCTGAAAACCAAATGCATTTTATAAATTGGTCGACCATTTATAAAATGCACTTGGATTACTAAAAACCTCGTTAACTTCTTAATTCCACATAGCTTGTGATAGCTTTCCTTTAACTTCATTATATATACTACTATTGTGTATACTTTTCACATTTCCAAAAACAGCTGTTTAGTTGTTAGAGAGGAGGGGCACAGGGTGGGACAGGGGACTCTAATGAAAAAATACCACTTTAAAGCTAAACATTTCGTAAACGGATCCCTGAATCAAGAAAATGTTATTAGACGTCCCAGTGTTTTTAAAAGACCTATCCAACGATACCCCACATGATGGGATAGACGGGTAAAAAAATCATGCTCATTTACTTGTATGGAAAGTAGCTAAAATAAAAATGTTTTGTATGATTATATTTCACATTTTTGTAGGCGTGAGTAATATCTAAGTAACTATGCAAAATTACAGCTTTGTAGCACATAGGGTCTCTGAGTAAAACCGCGGACGGACGGATGGACATGTCGAAACTATAAGGGTTCCTTGTTGTGTAACTACGGAACCCTAAAAAATCGGATATTTCCCCACTTAAAACCTTAAAAATATTTAAAGAAAATGTAACCTGCATACGTCGCACTGCTGGGCACAGACTTTCTTTCGTTTCAAGTCCATCAACAGGGACGGGTGCAGCGAGGCGGCCTAATCACCTAATAGCCCCTGAGAATTAAAAAAAAAACAACTTACATAATATAATCGTTGATTATCACTTACCAAAAATAAGTATTATCCATATACCTGTCTCTTTCAATTGTTATTTAGCGAAGAGAGCGAGAGCAACTTTCAAAATTTCGAAAATTGATGGCGATTAATTTAAATTTATTTGTCCTTTGTTGCAACACACCCAGGTTACAAAGGGCGGACTTAATATCCTATGGCAATTGCTCTATGTCACTTACGGCCTTATAAAAATAGTTTTATTAGGCCGTAAGTGCTTACTTTAAGTATTTAGTGTCACCGTGTAGGGTCGACGTAAGAGAGTTCATGCCCTATAGCATGTCGTAGGTGTAGTAAGAGACGACAGCAGAAAATGAAACTGAAGATGGGTACTATCTTTTTTTTATTTAGGATAAGGGTGACAAACGAGCACACAGTCCACGGTCAAGTGGTAAGTGATTGCTGTGGCCCATAAACATCTACATCTATCTTCGATTAGGAATCAAAATGCAGATGCGTTGTCACCCGTTAGGACTAATATGGAATGCCTCGTTTCCAGTAAAAAGGGTCTCCGATTCTCTGCACTCACCATACGAAAAACAGCAGCGTTTAGCTGCTATTTTACGCTGGTATTCTGTGAGAGCGTGATCCGGTCGAGCCGACCCATTCTTGCTACAACCATAATATAGCTGCAGCATGGCTCTACCACGTTTAAATCTTCCTGATAATACCAAATATAGCATTTATAGCAAATATTCCGCTTTGATGCGATCTATGGAAGAGGCATATGTACTGTGTATGGATGTGGACTTTTGATAAATTGTAGCGAATTGGTTTAATATTTAGTTATAACATTTATTATAATTGTCAGGTATTTCATCTTAAGATAATTAATAGTATCAGGCGTTACTTTGTCGAAATCATTGCATAAAAAAATAAAAAAAAATATATTGCTAAAATCCGCGTGATAAAATCTAAGATCCACTAAGATAATGGTCAGCCACCGCTGAGTCTACTTCACCTGAGGATGTCTCGTGTAGAGGCGAAACACGTGTCGTATTATTGCCGGTGGTACGTCTTTCCTAGTGTTGTGGTGTTGGAAGTAGTGGTGTTGGGATTAGTGGTGACAGGCATAGTGCACCCAATTGACAGTGGGCTGGAGATGCTCTTCAAACTAGGTAAGACACATAATTTTATTTTGTAACGGGGATCTTGGCAAACTAATTTTTAAAATTTTTAATATTTTATCTTCATCCTCAAAGGTGTCTACTGACAACGCATGTGATGCTTTCTTTGTTGAAGCTGGTTGCAGGTGTCTGTGGACTGCAGGAGCCACTAACCGTCAGGTAGACTGTTAGGTCGGTTACCTCTTACCTATATTTTATAATATACTCTGATATATAAATTTTATTTGGACCGTAATTTAACACTAGCAAGACGGGAAAAACAGCTAACCTACAAAGGTGGTCATGGGTCATTTGACCCTATCACTGTTACCTAGTCTCTAACTATGTATATAAGTGTATTATTATAGTAGAAATAGTAGACAATATTCATTGTTACAAAGACAAATGAAATATTTTTGGTTTCAAGTGTAAATATGTTAAATAAAAAAGTTATTTATAGTTATGACATACTCGTATGACTATTTTAGATAGAAAACATCTGCCCCATAGTGGTTTTTTTGCACAAGTCTCACACTTTATTAGTTTTATTTTTACAATGAGTGTGATAACAATTACGCCTCTTCCTCAACTCAGCTGCTGGCTATTCTGAGGCGATAGAACGTTGCAGTGAGGTTTCACGGGTGGGTTCTTCTAAAATGTTACTCAGTTCAAACGCCAATTGCAGAATAAATTATCTTCTTCGTATTTTCTTATTATTTATTTCTTGGTCCACCCAGGAATTTATTGCAAATAAATCTAAAATATTATAAAAAACTTGTACTGGCCATATTCTAGAAGGTGCTTTTGTGCTGTATCTTCTCGTCATTTGATCGACCACGTCACCACCATAATTAGTTAAATTGTAAAACATAACAGTTTCAGATTTTTTTCATGTAATGTACTCAACAAAAAACATTTTTCATCAATCAAGTTTCCAGGCTGTAATGAATTTCTCTCCAACTTGCCTCCGTGCATAGCTGGTAGGTCCTGACTGTTCAGTCACAACATTATGCCTTCCTCGGCGACCTGCTACCTCTGAGCCATTTTCAAATATGGATTTCCACAATATTCCACCCGGTGACATTATATTATTTTGAGAGGTATTTCCATAAAATCATGTACGAACGCCACGTACTCTTCGTCGCCGAGACGAAGTTTGTTCTTGAATGGTAGTCAACGGTACGTTGTTGTCTGGATCATCACTAGAACTTGAGTCAGTAGACGCAGGTATATACTAATCGCTATCTTCAATTTCTGGTGGTAATGAGACACCTTCACCTTCACTATCCGATTGATCTTCTGGCAACGATTGCAACAATGTCAATATTACTGCATCACTGATACACTGAGACATTTTTACGAAATATCAACCAAAATGATGAATTTGATTCAATAAAAAAGCGTATAGTAATGAACGTATAAACTAAAATATTTAGGTATGTGAAACAAGTTCAGGTAATAAAATTAAAGTAAATATAATTATCCTACTCACAACAGCAATGCATTCATCTATTGAATAGGTCTAATGAACCTAGCCGTCTTTGTATGTAAATGTTATTTTTATTCATATTTGTATAAAGATATTGCAATGTAAATACTTTTGTTTATAAAACAATCGTAATTCACTAAAAGTTACGAAGTACAAAACTGTATAAACAAACACTCACTAAATAATCAGCGCTGCAAGTTTAAATACGGATCAAAAGACCCTTTGCTGCCTTGCTAGTGTTAATTTAAAAAAATAAGTTATAATAAAAATATATACGCTAACTGAAGCGACGTGGAGTGTCGCGTGTGGTTGCTCACATTGTACAGTTTTCCATATCGCGCCAGTTTATCGAACGATCTGCACCCCCCGTCGGTCTGGATGATCCATCTTCGCGTAAGGGTGCAAAGTATACGAGCGGGTAAAATATAATAACATTGAGTGATACAGAAAAGTGTACGGACGTACATGTGTGGTTTTTCAGTTATGTTACATTTACATTAACTTGTCAGTAAAGTTTGTCATTATTTTATTTGTATTCTTATTTTAAAACGATAAAAATTGCCATACGAGCCGTGGTAGTTCAGATGGTTAGCGCTCGCTGTAAGTTTCACAGAACGCGAGGAATCGGGTTCGATCTCCGCTGGTACCAATGAAATTGTTAGTTGCAATTTTAAGTGCTGATTTATCACGTGCTCGACAGTGAAAGAAAACATCGTGAGGTAACCTGCATTACTGAGAAATAAAAAAAATATTTCAAAAACATGTGAATTTCGCCAATACGCATTGGGGCAGCGTGACGGACATCACCTTGCCCTAAAACACTTTCAGAAATGAGAGGAGGTCTGTGCTCAGCAGTGGGACGTATATAGGCTGTAACTTTTTAACTCTAACTACATACTCCCCGTGGTAGAGTGCCAAGACACTAGTCACGTTTTCCCGTTGATTGTTTGCTCAAAGATGTTATGCGGCCGATAGTGATTTATATTAAGAAATCATAGCGAACACTCCTTGATGAATAATATAAAATAGTAAAAATTTATGTTCCCTATCGTGGATAAAAACAGCTTAGCGCTGAATACAGCAGCGTTAAGCTGTTTTCTCCTAATAAGCCTTCCCATAGATGATCTCATAAGGGGAATAGTTACCACGCTTGGCAAGAACTAGCTGATATGGGATGGTGTATATTCGAACACCGCCACTAAACGGTCAATATAAGTTTTATATGTACTTTTTCAAAACTCTTTGAGCAACAACAACGCGTGGCCAAGTACAGCTAGTTATGTGATTAAAAAGAATATTTTTTTATTTACAGAATTACTAGATAAACATTTAAGTTCTTAGCGGTTAAAACGCAGCGTTTAAAACGCCGGTCTGTACTCTTATTGTCGCGCATACCGATGATCCATCTTCGTGAAAACACGCGCAAGCGACGCGTGATTCCACCAAACAAGGGTGCGACTGAGGGTGCCGTGAAATATTTATTTTTCCTTCTGAGACTAAGTTTGGTGTGAAAGTTACAGAAGGGTAGCTAAGTCCAAGAGCGTGTATATGCAGTGTACCATTAAACCTTTGTTGTAGAACTCTGTAAACACGTAAAAGGAAAAATAGATTTAGAGCATTAAATCGTTTTTAATAAAATAATGTATTACTATGAACGTTGTTGTTATAGGTGTAAAAATATTTTATAATGATAATAATAAGAGCATTAACATTACCAATCATTAACTTAATGCTTGGTATCCTTTTCCATGATGGTAACCTTTTCCGTAGATCGAATTCGAATTAAAAAAGCAATTAACAATATTATAACTTAATAATCAAACATTAATGAATTTTTGGAATCAAAGTTCTGTAATTATTACTATTATTAGTAATAATACGAGTATTTTTTTATTTTCATTCAAATATGGTATCGAAAACAAGATGTATGTTTTGTGATTAAATTAATTTGTCTTCTGAAACGTTGACCTTTACTCTGGAAGGAGGGCGGAAATCTGTTTTATGTTTTAATGAAATGTTTCATTTTTATTTCCCAAAAGCTTCTTAGGTATAAAACGTAGTACGAACACTAATTCGTTACTCGTGTGTATTGGGAGCTACTTACAATAAAACAATAATGGAATACGAGTTTTCAGGACCGTTTATTATTTAGAACTGCTAGAAATTTCCTTACTATATTATATTACAGTCTATAAGACTTATAGCCATCATTTTCGAAACAAATTTACGACGGAAAAAATTAAAATAGGAACGAAAGCGACAAAACTCGAATTATTATATTCTTAGAATGTAGCAAAGGGTATTCCTGTAAATCATTTTATTAAAAAGAAAAATAATAACGATAGTCTTGGCCTACGTAATTAACAATCCGATATATTATGCAAGGTAAGCAAAGTTTATATAGCGATATACGTCTTATTTTGTCATATAAAATATAAATATTCCATTGAAAGAAAACTTTTATAATCGTTAGTGCGTCTACTATTGATCGTTTTACTTCTGAAGGTCTTTAACCTTTGTGGTCATAATAAGATAATACATTTGTTTTATTGAGATGATGATAGCTATGCTATAATATAGTCATGTTTTCGACAAATTCCATATTATGTTTATAGCTTTGTCGACTAATTATGTAACCACAATATTCAATCTCATCTTTCATGAACTCTGATTTCACTAAATTGATTTTCAAATCAAACTCAGAAAGTCTAGCAAACACCTCTTCCAGCCTATTTAAGTGTTCAGCATCATTTGAAGTCATCTGTTTTATAAATAGTATACTCCTGGTATGCCTTTCAATATATTTTCAATTTTTCTTTGCCATTTAGCAGGAGGACCGTTGAGATCAAACATTAGACGTGTAGAGTTGTAGTGCCCTTTGTGGGTGTTAAATGTAAGTAAATGCTGATCCTCATCTCTAACCTTCCAATTTAGGTAAGCATTCCGTAGGTCAATTTTGGTAAACTTATCTCCTTCGGCCAAACCATTGAACAATTCTTCAGATGTAGATAAAGAATGTTCATCAACTATCAAATTATTATTCAGTGTTAATTTGTAGTCTCCGCAAAGTCTAATTTTTCCATTGGTTATTAAAACTGGAACCACCGGCGTAGCATATTCACTATAATACACTTTAACTAAAACTCGTCTCTCACTAGGTTTCAATTTCCTTCTCAACCCTATCTTTGAGAGCAAAATGAACAGGTCTAGCTCTGTATAATATAGGTTTGGCCTCTGCTTTGACATATAATGAAACAGGATCTCCTTTAATGTCGCCTACATTTTTTTCATCGAACAGGGCACTGTACTTTTCAAAAAGTTACTGTAAAGGAAGTTTATGTAAAACATTACCTGGAGACACATGGTTTACTTGTGTCATGCAATCTCTGAAGCCCTAAAAAACATTAAAACTATTTATCCACTCTCCGCCTAAAAGTGGATGCTGTTGATGTTATGTACAGTTTGATAAGTTTAGTCTCCTCCACAATAGCAGCTTTAACATTTACAACACCTAAAACATTTAAGAATTGGTTAGAATAAGTACACAATTTAATATTGGTAGGTAACAATTTCTCTTTACAAATTTTCTTGAAATCAATACATTCATTATAGACACTGCTGAACTATGTGTGATAGATCACTATCAAATTCCATTGAGACTACAGAGCTATTAATTCTAACTTTAATTAAAAACTTTTTTGTGTTAGTCACTGTGCTGCAGTTATTTATATACACTATTTCTTCTGTATCACTATTTTGTCACCTAATATTTGTACAGCATTCACTTTTTTTAATTTTAGGCACATTTTCTTTATAAGTCCAGTCCGCTGACAATAATTGCATTTAACATTTATCATTGAGCACTTGTTAGCATAATGGTTCCTACCACAAAGAAAACAGCATATTTTGTTCATCTCGGTTGGAGCTGGTAGAAATGTTGCCGATGATTGTGATATTGAAGCTTTCTTTCAATATTGATAGCCTGTATTTCTTTTTCTATATTACTTGTATGTGCTCTTTGAGATCGTATTCCACACACAAACTGGTTCCTTAGTGCTCCATAAATGTCCCAAAATTACAACTTGATGCCATTTTTAGGGTTCCATACGTCAAAAGGAAAAAACCCAACCCTTATAGGATCACTTTGTTGTCCGTCTGTCTGTCTGTCAAGACCCTTTTTCTCAAGAACGCGTGGAGGTATCAAACTGAAATTCATATCAAATACTCAAGTCTACTGTCCCTTGAAGCTGTGAAAAAAATCAAAGTTCTAATTCAACGGAAAAAAAGAATACAGCCGTTTATGCCGCAGGTTTTCGACATTCGTAAGGGAAACAAAACCTACAAGGTACTTCCCGTGAACTCAGAATCTTAAAATTTGGTACGAAGCAACTTATCAGGGCAAGGGAATATACGGATACAAAATCCAAAATTTGCTAAAATATTTGAACTCAATAATTCTTCTTCTTTAAATAATTTCCCTTCTCCCCGCATCTCTGATAGAATCTGATCACATACGCTTAGATGCTTGCTTCGAGTGATTGATAGTTCAATTAGAGTTCATTAATTTTGATACGTTCCACTTGCAAGGCATTTTACGACACCGTAAAAAGAGACAAATTATTCATATTTCAAATATATTATTTCTTTAAATTGTGAAATAATGAAAGTTACAACGTACCTAAGTAAAGCGTGATGTCCAATATTTCAAACTTATTCTGATCTTCAATATAATTCCAACTTGGCAATACACATGTACATACTTTAGCAGATAAAGGGATCGACCCCATTTCAATTCGAACTATCCGTACACGTCGAAACCCTTTTACAATAATCGAATATAGCTTTCATCTTGCGAACATTCAAAACGGACATTTTGTATAATGATATTACTTTATCTTTTTCTGTATTCATGAATATGATTACGAAATATCTTTTTCTCTGTCTGTACCAGTTTTCTTGTGACTGTTCTTTAGTTACATACCTAAATATGTTTATTGGCTGGGCATAGAACTTCTCTTTTTTCTAAGCGGTCTATAGAGCAAACAGTCCGGCGCGTTACTACAGAGCGTGTTGGCGGACTTCACATGACTTCGAAATATTTTTAGTTCTCTTACATGCTGGTTTCCTCACGATGATTTCCATTTTACGTTTAATTAGAAGAGCTGTAGAAGGTGCAATAATCTTTGTTTGAGTTTCATCAAAGCAAATGAAATTGTTAGTACTAATTTTATGATATAGTCTACCACGTGGTTAGTGGTATAGAAAACGCTGTATGTATGATTATTCATATCTTAGAGACAGTGCGGCAACGTGTGAAACGGTGTTTAGCTAGCAATGAAAAGTATGTATTAATGTTGGATTCCAGTAGTTATGTAACTATTAGAGAGAGTTTAATAGTTAAATAACTGCTGGAATCGAGGAGCTTAACTTTATTTAATTATTAGAGTATTAGAACTATTTGTAATCGTTACATTTAACTAAGTACTACTTTTTGGGTTTACCAATTTTTCGACAACATTTTATAGCATATACGTAACATTGTACGGAAAAACTAATTCGTGTTTCTAATTTCTTTCAGTCTAACCTGATTATTTTTAAATTACGTACTTTTTTGTTCCCATTTTTTTCAAGCAACTTAATATCAAGTTTAAATACGAATAAATAAATAGCGAGTATGTTTGTCGAAATACGTTTATTATATTTTGGGCACAGCGCTTTGGTAAACGCAATGGGATGCGTAAAGCCGATGATCGGTCTTGGTGGCGTGCCTTGCAAGTGCCTAGGTCCGGCAGTGTTCAACCGCAAGCTGGTGATGAAGGTTTGGCACAGCGTCCGCGCAATATCCACATGAGAACCATTCGCATGCTCAGAAACCATATTGCGCTGAAACAACATTTGAAAATAATATCTACAACTGTAACAACACATTTTAAAAAATGTATTAGATCTTTGCACTCGATTCGCTTGTCCCACTGTAAATCAATCGAAATGTTATCATTTTTATACGACGAGTGAGTTACTCGTATGGTTACATGATATGATATGGCTAAGTATGAACACGTTTTTCGTCACGATACGTCTAGTGATATGCTACGGTGGATGCTTAAGGATTGATTATCTTGGCGTACTACGTCTTTGTCACGAGTTACTTGTATCATGATCGTTACTAAGGGCACAAAATTTTATGTGATCTTTTAACACAAAACCTCGTATCGTAAATACACGAATGGTGATCAATAGAATTTTTATAGAATACAAGGGTGACAATCGAGCGTACAGTCTAAAGATGGATTGGACGTGGGAAAGATGCGAGACGCTAATTTAAAGCGAACTCATTTAATTGCTGCAGCTATATTACTGATATAGTTGTAGCGCAAATGAGTCGGCTCGACCGGGGCAGAACCACGTTCTCACAGAATACCAGCGTAAAATAGCAGCTTAACGCTTCTGTGTTTCGTATGGTGAGTGTAGAGAACCAGAGACTCATTTTATATGGAAACGAGGCATACCATCTTAGTCCTCACGGGGAGAACGCATCTGCATTTTGATTCGTAATCGATGCTAGATATAGATGTCTATGGGCCACATCAACCACTTACCATCAGGTGGACTGTGTGCTCGTCTGTGTTACCTCTTATCCTATAAAAAAAAGAATAGTATTCCGTAATGCTGACGAGCTTGTGCGTGTGCGTGTGCGTGTGCGGGCGGCCATGGTGCATGTGTGCATACGAGCTCGATTTGTTGACATTTCAACTTTTTTTATTTATAGGAGAGAGATCAAATGAGCATACGGCTCACTTGATGGTAAGTGACTATCGCCGCCTATGAACAACTGCAACACCAAGGGAATTGCAGGTGCGTTGCCGGCCTTTTAAAAAGGAGTAAGCTCTTTTCTTGAAGGTCCCTAAGTCGTATCTGTCCGGAAAAATCGCCGATGGTAAATTATTCCACAGAGAAATCGTACGCGAAAAAGAATCTCCTAATGAAACGTACAGTGGTGGACCGCCAAGCTTACAAATAATGTGGATTGTATCGGGAGATTTGCCGCGATGTCCGTTCGTGAAATTTGGTGGTTGGAATTGATCCAAAAAAATCCTCAGAGCACTCCCCGTGGTAAATGCGAAAGAAAATGCAAAGGGATGCAACATCTCTTCGCAGCGCCAGTGAATTGAGCCGATCGGTAATAACTCGGTCGTCGACGATTCGAGCCGCTCTGCGATGGATGCGGTCAAATGGAAGGAGTTTCAAAATAAGCGCTTTGTCCCAAACCCGATCGAAGGCCTTCGCAATGTCAAAACGGCCAATGCCTACCCATTGGATTCTACTACCTCCGCCCATCTATGAGTCAAGTAGACCAGAAGATCACCAGCTGATCGACCCCGCGGAAAACTGTATTGGCGGTCACTAATCAGCTGGTAAAGTTTATCGAAGGTTTTGACACGTAGGATGCAAGAGAAATCGGAAAGATTTCTATGGGAGGCACAATGCGGATTTAGACCTGGAAGAGGATGCACGGATCAAATGTTTTCTCTCCGCATGATCACGGAAAAGCTTCTGGCTGTTAACCAGAAGATTTTCTGTGCTTTTGTGGATCTTGAGAAAGCATTTGATAAGGTGTAAGGAAGAAAATGTGGGAACTGTTGCCGGGGTATGGTGTGGATGGCCGATTGCTAAGGGCTGTGCAGTCTCTTTACTGTGACTGTAAAGCCTGTGTGCGGGTAGGGCATGACCTGTCACCCATGTTTAGCGTCCAAACGGGCGTAAAACAGGGTTGTGTCATGTCTTCCTGGCTGTTCATACTGTATCTCGACAGCTGTTTACAAAAGCTGAAAGATAGCTGTTTGGGTGTGAAATTGGGTGACATAAAAGTAAATTGTCTGCTGTATGCTGATGATGCAGTGCTTATTGCACCATCAGAGGCAGAACTGCAGGCATTAGTCACGTGTATGAAAGAGGAATGTGAAATTAAAGGTCTCCGTTTGAATGCTAATAAAACTAAGGTTCTGGTATTTGAAAGGGACGAAGAGAGAACGAAGTGTGAAATATGGGTAAATCAGGAATGTCTAGAACAGGTAAATGAAATTGTATACTTGGGGAGTGCTTTTAGCCGGGATGGAAGATGTGATTTAGATGTGGACAGGCGTGTCGCTGCCGGGAACAAAGTCAATGGTGCCCTGACTGCGTTAGTCAAAAGGCAAGGCGTAGCGAAGAGTGCACGCCTTGCAATACATAACGCAGTGTTGGTA